GCGGGCACACCCCCAGTGGGGAGTGTGCAGGAGGCAGCTGGTCGATGTTTCTCTCTCATCGATGTTTCTAACTCTCTATCTCTCTCCTTTCCTCTCTGTAAAAACTCAATAAAATATATTTAAAAAAAAAAAAAAGAGGGCAATTGACTTCTCTCTGCTCTTATAAAGTACTTTCTGAAGGAGGAGAGAGATACTAAATACAGTTTGATGGAAATAATTACAGAACATGATAAGCACTAGGAGGAAATAGATTGCTTTAACATAAAGGTGGGAAAAGGTGGGTGAGCAGGGCGGCCTTTCTGAGGGAATGACACTCACTGACACCCAAATGATAAGAAGATTCAGACATACAAACACCGGGGTAAATGCAAAGTCTTTGAAGAGTTTGGTAAATCATGGAAACTGAGAGGAGGCTAGTGTAATTGGGGGGTGGGAGAGAGAAGGAAGCAGTATGTGGTGATGTAGAAAAGTAGGCCAGAACTGGACTCCCGGGACCCCTGACTATCTTAAAAAGCTTACATTTTATTTTAAATGCAATAGGAAGCCTTTAAAGGCTTCAGGAAGGATGTGATGTGGTCCTTTATGTTTTAAAAAGCTCATTCTTGCCTTGGCCAGTGTTGCTCAGTTGGTTGAGCATCAAACTGTGCACTGCGAGGTTACAGGTTCTATTTCCAGTCAGGGCACATGCCCAGGTTGCAGGTTTGGTCCCTGCTTGGGGAGCATAGGGTAGGCATCTGATCAGTGTTTCTCTCTCACATTGATGTTTCTCTCCCTCTCCCTTCCTCTCTCTCAAAATAAATAAAACGTTTACAAATTAAAAATAAAATAAAAGCTCACTCAGTCTGCTATATGCAAAATGGATTGGCTGTGGGCATGAGGACAGGCAAAGACATCTGTTATGACTGGAAAGGATTACTGTTATCAACTAGGCTTAACATCTAGAGCATTGCGAACCTTCAGTCATATTTAAAGACCTCTGCAGATTTTCACAGTGAAATATCTAGTTATGTCTTCTCTGCAGTCAATTAAAGCTCTTCATGATAGAATGTTGGACTCTTATACCTAATTTGCTTGTATTCACTTTTCTGAGCCTTTTATAAACCAGGTCTTATCACATTTGCCCTTGGCAGTTTTCTTTTCTTTCAAACCAATTTTCTTTAGTTGTCAATATCAGAATTGTGTCTCACCAGGGTTCCTCATAGGTCCTGGATATATTCTTGCCCTAGTCCTACATTATATTTTCTTTTTGAAACCATAATATAAGGATTGACTACATGCTTGATCAACTTTCATCTATCACTCTTCCTAAGATATTTAGTAATTCATTTAGCAAATAAGTCTTTCAAAGGTAGGTACATGACTTCTCTTTCCATATGTATGTACTATGATATTCTACACTCATATCCATTTTATTTTAATCATGTAGACAAATTACCTTCATAATTTTAATTCTAGCTTTTTAAATATTGGTTTTACTTTTCATCTTGGTTCCATTTGCAAAGTTCATTAATCATCATCTTGGCCATTCATGGATATATCCTTAGAGAATGCCATCATCAGATCCCGATGCCTAACATGGATATATAACAGATAATCTGTCTGCACACCTACATAACTAATAGTTATTATAATCTATGCATGAATTATCCAATACAGTAGCCACCAGCCATGCATGATCATATAGCTTAAATAAAATTAATTTTAAAAAACTTAAAATTTGGTTCCTCATTCACACACATTAACCACATTTCAAGTGATTAGGTGCCATATGTGATCACTGGCAACAGTATTGAACAAGGCACATATATAACATTTCTATTATTTAGATTTCTATTAGATAGTGCTGGCCTACACTGTACTGTTTCCTATTACATGGGATGATGTTTAAAACTCTGCAAATAAAGACTTTTTTACTTTAACCATACAGGATAGCCACTCTGTCCTAAATTGTGTGAACTTTTATAATCTGAAATCATTCTGGAAATGAAATGATCGAACTTGCTTACTCAATTGTTTCTATATAGTCCAAGTATATTTGCTAAAGTCATTATGTCAAGTGTTTGGAAAGGTATTTGTTTCAGTCAATAAAAAGAGTTTGGGTTGCAGGTTCCATGTCTCTATCCACAAGAGCCAGGAAATAACTTTATATTATACTCATTAGATAAGTTCTTTGGAAAATTGCTTTGGTTATTGCTCCATAGTAAATGCTATAAAATATTTAGTCTGGGATTTACTCACATCCAGAGCATGTTGGCAATACCAGCATTGTTGACACTCCTTTAATTGGAACAAAGTGGGACTATAATAACCAAAGAGTGACTCAGAAATATATCCTTATCTAAATCCTTGAGCGTCTTGATTAGTCTTAGGAAATAGAAAAACATTTGTACTGGAACAAAGACTTTTGACATAGATTATTGTTGAGTTTCTTGTCATCTTGAGTTTCAAAGAAATAAGGGTAGCTTTTCTCTTTATAAATACAGTGCATAAAGGCGATGTGTACAATGAAGAAAAGTAGGAAAGCGAGATTGATGCCATTAGATTTTTCATCATTATACTCCTATCTGATATGTGAATTTAACTAACACAGATACACCTGTTTCAAGTATAGGACTTCATAATGTAATTTCTTTTTTTAATTTAATTTTATTGTTTAAAATATTACAAATAGTACAGATGTCTCCTTTCTTTCCCATTGACCTTCCCCCTATAATGTAATTTCTTAACTAATGCTAAATGTTCTTCATAAATTTTTATATAGTACTATTAAATACTTAAGATACATTTGAGTATGAAATAAGACATAGATTTCTCAAACCAAGACTGTTTGTTTCTTCCTTGCTTATTTCTATGCTGTGTTCCTTTTCAAATTATTTTACTCACATTTCTTGTGGGGGTTTTTTTCTATTTGAATTTTTGGTTTAGTTATTATTGAGCAAATTGTATCATTTCAGTCATTTCTAGTATTACAGTTGTGGGGGCATCAACTGAAGATTGTTTCTCCACAAGTTGAAGAGACTACAAAGTCAAATTGATATAGAACAGATCATTTACATATCAAAGGAAGTAAAAAAAACACATAGTTGTTAAAATTTTGTTTTGTTTAGTTATGGCAGAAAACATTTGTCCATCAGCCAAAAGTTTCCACCTGAGAAAGCCCAAATAGTACAGATAGTGTATGTTTTATCTAGTTTTATTTAGTGAATGCACCTTATCTTTATTCATAAACTGTGAGTTTTTATACTGTTGAGACTTTTAACTGATTTTCATAAATAATAATCTCATCTCTTCCAATAATTAATTGGTCTCATAGAGATTAGCTCCTCATAATCATTGCATGACAAATGAAATTATTTACCTGATTATAAATAACCAGATAAATTATCCGCTAGCAGACTGAGATTAGTCTCTTTATAAGAAAGAAAGTTTATTTAAAACATTAAGTTATGATCTTATCTCTCCTATGAGGTGATGAATACTTCCTGTTGAATGAAGAAAAAAATGACAAAGCATTTAATTCAGTGAAATTTAAACCCCATTAACTTACTACAAATAATGGAAAGAGAGTGAAAATGTAATTGTGTGTGTTTTGATGTTGGTCATGGTGGAATTAGAGGTGGGTTTGGGAAGAACAGGTAAAGATGGTGGGAAAAAAATCAACTGTGTATTGATTGTTCCATTGCAGGTGGCTGTTTATTTGGCTGTGTTGTGGATAGTTAAAGAGTGAGTATTCCGTGTCCTATTGTGGATTGTATTTTGTTACTATTGATTATTTGGGACTTAGTAAGTATTGTAATATCCACTGTGCTTCATTTCCCTACAATATCACAGAAGTGAAAAATGGAATTATTTTTTTAAAATTGTGAGCATGTGCAGATCCTGCAGCTTTTCACCAATTTCTGAAGAATTCAGTTGTGTTCAGTTTCCATGAAACACAAGGAAAATATTTAAAACATTATATATTAGAATTTTCTCTGAGTACTTAATAAGAATCCATTTTATCTATTTCAATGGTGAAAAAGTTTAATCTACTTTCTTGCAATAGTAAATTCTTGAGATTAAAGTCATAAACTCTGCTAATGAAATATTCGTGTTTCTTTCGACTCAACTTCTGTTTCCTTTGCATATAGTATTGGAAATTCAATGGGAAGGTTTTGTTGCTGAGTAACAATTTCCCTTTTCGTTACAGAACACCTCCTCTAGACAAAGGGAATAGTTCTGCAAGTACAAATAACAGCTATCTTCCAGTGATCTTCACCAGAACCAGCGCATTTTATGTTTTTTACATTTATGTGGGAGTAGCCGACACTTTGCTTGCTCTGGGATTCTTCCGAGGTTTACCACTAGTGCATTCTCTAATCACAGTGTCGAAAATTTTACACCACAAAATGTTACATTCTGTTCTTCATGCGCCTATGTCAACCCTCAACACGTTGAAAGCAGGTACCTGACTAGGTTTACAAACTGAAGCTGCTTGTCCGCCATCAAAAGGGTCTGTGATTTAGTTGGTTTTCTAGCGGTAGTGTTGGCTTTGCACAGAGCCATCTGAACTTTGTCGAGCTTCCTTATGACAGGCATGTACATTTCCCAGATACTATATATAGACTGTCAGGTATTGTTGCTCTTCACATTTCTGTATCAGTTCATTGGAGTAGCTCAGTTTGTTAAAAATTGATGTTGATGGTATTGCAATAGAACAGCAGGTCTTTCTGGGTCCGTTGTTCTTTATTCAGATGTTTGGCCTAACCCCTTCAAGGCCTCTTGCTGCCAATGTTCAGTATTGTTGAAGAGAGTAGAAGATTTGAAGCAACCAAGGAAAACATAGAATTCTTTTACAGATAAAATATTTTGGTGGAATAAAATAATCTAGTTTCCTGTAGCTGTTCAAAGTTGATCACAAATTTGTTTCAGGTGTGTTTTTTTTCCTTCTTTTTTTGGGGGGTGGAGGTGGGGGGGTGGCTGGGTAAGGTTGGTGGTGGTTGAAATCCTAAATGTATTTTTTTTTAATGGAACACTTCACTAATTTGCGTGTCATCTTTGCCAAGGGGCCATGCTAATCTCTGTATCGTTCCAATTTTAGTATATGTGCTGCCAAAGTGAGCACACCAAATGTATTTTTTAAATATTTTTTTATACCATCATAGAGGTTGGTAAAAGGTTAGAAGCTTTCAGTTATAAGTAAGGCCTGAGAATTTAATGTATAATATGTGACTATAATTGCTAACACCTTATTATACAATTGAAATTTGCTAAGAGAGTGAAACTTAAATGTTCTCACGAAAAGAAAGAAAGAAAGAAGAAAGAAAGAAAGAAAGAAAGAAAGAAAGAAAGAAAGAAAGAAAGAGAGAGAGAGAGAGAGGGAGGGAGGGAGGGAGGGAGGGAGGGAGGGAGGGAGGGAGGGAGGGAGGGAGGAAGGAAGGAAGGAAGAAAGGAAGGAAGGAAGGAAGGAAGGAAGGAAGGAAGGGAGGAAGACAGGTATTGAGCAAAAACAAAAAAAAATGTGAGAGAGAACTCATGGACATGAGCAACAGTGTGGTGATTGTGGAAGGGGAGGAGGTGGAGGTGGAAAGGGGCATAGAAGACATAAATGGTAATGGGAAAAATAAAATAAATTTTTAAAAATGTAGATATGAGAGGTGATGGGTATGTTAACTCAATGGGAGGAATCCTTTTACAACGTGTACATGTATCAGATCATCACGTTGCACACTTTAAATACCTTATAATTTTATTTGTCAATTATACCTTAATAAAAATAAAATCACAAAAAGTAAGAGCAGTGAAATAAAGGGACCAAAGATTTTAAAAAACCCAGAAACTAAGTGCAATAAGGTACATTGAAAGTAATCAATTCCATTAATTCTCATTTAGTCAAATTGCCATTTAGAGTTTAATAAGGAATTCCCCAAGTTTTATCCTTACAGCAGTCTGCTGAGTACTTACTTTGTGTGGCACTGAGCCAGGGGTTGGTAGGAAAAGATCAATGGGGCACAGTACCTGCCCTGGAAGAATTCACAGACAAAGGGAGAGGAGGTAGACACAGAAGCATTTGATTATAAAGGAAAGAATAACTTCCAGGATTGAAGATTTTAGAGTGATTTGTATCTATGAATCTCAAGATAAGAAATATCAATCTATTTTTTACTGGTTAACAAAATTCCAGTGTTAGTGTGCAGGAAGATCTTTATATTTATTCTGAAGTCCTTGTGGGTCACTAACACCTTGCCTTGTTTGGATATACTCATCACCACCACATGTTTTATTTATTTATTTATTTATTTTTAGCTCTTTATTGTTTGAAGTATACATATAGTATTACATATATCTCCTTTCCCCCCATTGACCTCTCCCTGGCCACCCCCACCCCCCAGCACTTGCCCTCACCCCCCTAGTGTCTTTGTCCATTGGTTATGCTTATATGCATGAATACAAGTCCTTTCGTTGATCTCTTACCCCCTCCCCCCACCTTTCCTCTGAAGTTTGATGGTCTGTTTGATGCTTCTATGTCTCTGGCTCTATTTTTGTTCATCAGTTTATGTTATTCATTAAATTGCGCAAATGAGTGAGATCATGCCTTATTTTGCTTGGCATAATGCTCTAATGCTCTCCATGTCCATCCATGCTGTTGCAAATGATAAGGGTTCTTTCTTTTTTACAGCAGCATAGTATTCCATTGTGTAGATGTACTATGGTTTTTTAATCCCCTCATCTGCAGATGGGCACTTAAGCTGTTTCTAAATTTTAGCTATTATAAATTGTGCTGCTATGAACATAGGGGTACATATATCCTTTCTGGTTGGTATTTCTGTTTTCTTGGGATATATTCCTAGAAGTGGGATTACTGGGTCAAATGGGAGTTCCATTTTTAATTTTTTGAAGAAACTTCATACCAGTCTGCATTCCCACCAGCAATGTACAAGGGTTCCTTTTTCTCCATATCCGCACCAGCACTTGTCATTTGTTGATTTGTTGATGATAGCCATTCTGACAGGTTTGAGATGGTACATTACTGTTTTGATTTGCATCTCTTGGATGATTAGTGACTTTGAGCATGTTTTCATGTGTCTTTTGGCTTTCTGTATTTCCACTTTGGAAAAGTGTCTATTTATGTCCTTTGCCAATTTTTTGATTGGATTGTTTAAGTTCCTTTTGTTAAGATGTATGAGTTCCCTATAAATTTTGGAGATTAGGCCCTTATCGGATATAACATTGGCAAATATGTTCTCCCATGAAGTGGGCATTCTTGTTGTTTTGTTGATGGTTTCTTTTGCTTTGCAGAAACTTTTTATTTTAATGTAGTCCCATTTGTTTATTTTTTCCTTAGGTTTCATTGCCCTAGGAGCTGTGTCTGTAAAGATATTGCTACGACATATGTCTGATATTTTGCTGCCTATGGATTTTTCTAAGATTTTTATGGTTTCCCAACTTATGTTTAAGTCCTTTATCCATTTTGAGTCTAGTTTTTGTTGATGGTGTAAGTTGGTGGTCTAGTTTCATTTTTTGCATGTATCTGTCCAATTTTTCCAACACCATTTATTGAAGAAACTGTCTTGACTCCATTGTATGCTCTTGCCTCCTTTGTTAAATATTAATTGAGTATAATAGCTTGGGTCGATTTCTGGGTTCTCTGTTTTGTTCCATTGGTCTATATGTCTGTTCTTGTGCCAGTACCAGGCAGTTTTGAGAACCGTGACTTGGTAATATAGCTTGATATCTGGTATTGTGATCTCTCCAACTTTGTTTTACTTTCTCAAGATTGCTGTGGCTATTCAGGGTCTTTTTTTAATCCATATGAATTTTTGGAGAGTTTGTTCTAGGTCTGTGAAATATGCTGTTGGTATTTTAATGGGGATTGCATTAAATCTATAGATTGCTTTGGTGTTGATTCTACCAATCCATGAATATGGTATATTCTTCCATTTGTTTATGTCTTCCTCTAGCTCTTTTTTCAATGTCCTATAGTTTTCTGAGTACAGGTCATTTACCTCCTTAATTGAGTTTATTCCTAGGTATCTTAGGATTTTTTGTGTGTGCAATGGTAAATGGGATTGTTTTTGTTGTTTTTCTTTCTGTGAGTTCATTAATGGTGTATAAAAAAGCCATCAATTTCTGGGTGTTAATTTTGCATCCTGTTACATTGCCTAATTCATTTATTAAATCTCATAGTTTTTTTATGGAGTCTTTAGGGTTTTCTATGCACAATATCATGTCATCTGCGAAGAATGACAGTTTTCTTCTTCTTTTCCAATTTGGATGCCTTTTATTTCTTTTTCTTGTCTGATCACTATGGCTAACACTTCCAGTACTATGTCGAACAGGAGTGGTGAGAGTGGGCATCCTTGTCTTATTCCTGTTCTTAGGGGAAATGATTTTAGTTTTTGCCCATTGATTATAATGTTGGCTGTAGGGTTGTCATATAAGGCTTTTATTATGTTGAGATATGATCCCTCCATTCCCATGTTTTAGAGCTAAGAAATTTTATACCTAAAAGGAATGTTAGATTACCTTGATTTAACGATTTTATTTTTTATGGAAAAACTGAGACCCAGAGAAGATAGAGGAATTGTCCAAGTTGCCAACAGCTATAAACAGGCAATGAGAGGTACTGGAAAGAGCATGGGAATTGTTTGAGTCCTAGATTGTCACCATAAGAGTGATGATTATAGGCAAGTTACTCTTCTGAGCCTGAGCCTTGCTTTTGCATCTGTAAATGGGGACCTCAGAGGATCCTTGTGAGAATAAAACAGGCAATCTTCTTGCCTGTTACAAGCCAACATGCAATAAAGGTCAGTTCCCTGTTGTTCGTTCTGAGGGGCCCTATTCCCACAGGGGGTGCACTTTCCATTCCCCTTGTTATGTTTCAGAGCTCCTCATTCCCTTAAACACTACACATAGTGGTTAAGAGCCTTCTTTCTTTCATAATTAAATGGTTACCATCCTTTTCATTTTCTCATTCATCTTATTTTCCAAACTTTAATCTGCTAGTAAAATAATTCTGAATCATCTCTGTTTTTGCATTTTTCCTTATGCTCATGAGAACTGAAATAATAAGAATCTTCTCTCTTTCATAATTAAATGGTTACTATTCATTTCATTTTCTCATTCATTCATCTTATTTTCCAAAGTTTAATCTGCTTTGTAGAATGATTCTGAAAAATCTCTGTTTTTTGCATTTTCCCCTTATGTTCATGAGAACTGAAATAGCAAGAAGACCTTAACATCTAGATGTTCTTTACCCACCCCTACCCACACCCCGAATTTCTGTATGAAAGGATGATGCTTTATTTTTAAAAAACATTGCTGTTACTGAGTTTCTCAGTATGTTACCTACATATTTTCTGCTATAATCAGCAGCAACCAATATTTCCTTGCCTTTATCAATAATATTTAAATCAATAAATATGCATTAAATAATTCCTACATATAAGGCTTTTGGATGAGGGTTATGCATAATGAAAAATAAATGTGGCGAGGTCCCATTGACCTTTAGCAATTTACAGTCTAGAAACAGAGATAAGACATTTAATACAAGCAACTATGATATAAGACATAGGTGTCCTATATAATAAAATGCTAATATGTAAATTGACCAAAAAGTGGAGCGACCCGTAGCTGTGACATGCACTGACCACCAGGGGCAGACACTCAACATAGGAGCTGCCCCCAGAGATCAGTGCACTCCCACAGGGTGAGCACCACTCAGGCAGAAGCCCAGTTCATGGCTGGCAAGTGCAGTGGCAGTGGCAGGAGCCTCTCCCACCTCTGAGGCAGTGCTAAGGAGCAGCAAGCACAGTGGTAAGGAGCAGCAAGCAGACGGGCAGTAAGGAGCAAGGGCTCCCAGACTGCGAGAGGGATGTCCAACTGCCGGGTTAGGCCCGCTCTCTGCAGAGTGGGGTTAAGCCGGCAGGCGGACATCCTCCGAGGGGTCCCGGACTGTGAGAAGGCACAGGCCATGCTGAGGGACTCCTCTGAGTGCACAAATTTCGTGCACTGGGCCTCTAGTAGTCATTATAACAGAGGTGCTGACAAGATATAGTAAAGGTATTAAGTGTGTCCAGAGGAGGTGCTGGTGCAAACATTGATGTTTCTTTGTAAGAGAGGCAT